ATTAATTTGACTTATTTAACTATTCTGATATATATACTAATTAGGGTTAATCAGTGGGCTTGATTCGCATCCGATTTAAGGTAAAAAAAACAACATGTTTTCTTTTACATTTTAATAGTTTTATGGAAATAAATAAAATAAAATAAATAAATTTTTTCCATGAATTCCAAAAGAGTAAAATAGAAAAAAAAAGTATGTGTGAGTTTAATTTAGTGTAGTGTGAAAAATGTTAGTTATGCACTAGAAGATTTTTGATAGAATTCTTATAGAAGAAATATTAGTTGTTAATCTTTAAATTATGAAATTTATGTTATGGGAAGTTTTGGGTTGAGTAAATTATGTTATACAGTATGAGTCAATTGTGTTATTTGGTACAAACAGATTATGTTATTGGGTACGAGTGGATTATTTAATACGATATGAGTAGATTATGTTATTCGATACGAGTGGATTATGTTATTCAGTACCAACATATAAATTAAATCAAACCAAATGAATTGATGTACTTGGATTAAATCGATCATCTAAATTATTGAGTTGATTTTTTTATTTATTTGGCTGGATTATTTTAATTGATTTAGTGGACTAGTTTTTAATTGATATTTTAAGAGGATTACTGATAATACATAGAACATGATATAATTTTTTTTCAATCGGGAAATTACTCTTTAAAGATAGTCTAACCTCTTAATATAATCGACATAACAATGCTGTAAATACTAAGGTTATGGAAAAAAAGACATAAAATGTTAGGGAAAGGGTGAGATCGGGTGTAAAAACATATACAAGTTAAGTTAAAACATATGCGAGTACACTTATGCAAATAATATATTGAGGACGTCAATTTATGCTCACATATGAAATTCATAAATACGAATATAACCATATGTGTGACAAGTTCAGGATCGTCTACAATGTAAAACCCAGGTAAATTTAAACCTTTTCAAAAAAAGGGTAAAATGGTAATTTGTCATTATAATGCGGGTTTAAAATAAATATATTTTTAGAGCTTGGACGATGCAACAGACCTCACCATTGAATTTGTATCGCGAAATCGAGCTGTCATGTCAATTTTTGTTGAATTCTGAGATAACCGAATTTTATACATTTTACGAGATAATTTGGTGACGAATTACCTCACAAAGGTCCCCAAAAAAATGAAATTTATAAAATTTCCTTATAATTAGATAAAATTTTAAATAAAATTAATTTAAACTAAAATCGAAAATTAATTAAGTCATTTTGGGTCAAAAATAGACTCGGAGGTAATAAACGTGCGGGGCAATGTGGACCGCGTAATTAAAAAGTATAAATATGGGCTAAATATCTGAAAAATTAGATATCCTAACCCATTTGGCTGGAAAAATCAGACGTTGAAGACAGGAAAGAGAGAGAAGAGAGAAAACCTAGAAATTCTACCTTTCTTCTTGCAATCCAAGGAGTTTCGTCGGTCGAAATTCATTGAACCAAGAATTAAAGTTGGGCATACTATGCATTCTATTGTTGCCTTCTCGGTGTTTTACTAAGTGCTATGTGAACTTTGTTGAGGATGAATAAGTTGCTACATGTGTTAATATATTAGCATCATGTTGATTTATGGTAATTATATGCAATTGATATTAATTATCATGACATAAGTGAAAATATGTGGTTAAATGGATCATTTGACATTTATTGCATTTTGGGCATGATATAACATCACATTCATGGGCTTAGGCATGAGTGTGGATGTGTGTGGGCATGGTTGATTCAAACATCATATATGGTGGTTGAAGGTAGGCTCGGGAAAGTGGGATTGAAGATCCCACTGAGTCGCATGGTTGCATGCATGAAAAACTTGTGTCGGGTATAGCAAGAAGGGCTAGACACTCCATCGGGTGAAAGACCCCAACTACTTGGTTTCCACACTCCCCTGAGGTGAAATTTTAGAAAAGTGTAATGGCGTACGGAGCCAACAGTGTGATTCCAAAATTCGATACCTAGCAAAGACACATGGTTTTGGTTTATATAAATGATTCATTTGATAAGAAACATCCAACAATGAATGGGTTTTATGAACGTATGATCATATTTCAAAATGATCTTTGGATGTATTTCATGAAGGACAAATTTTTTAAACACATGCATTGCATTGTGTTGTGGGAGTTGGTGAGGACTCGGGACAAGGTGCATAAGTGAGTCTCATCTCATTTCATAGCATGACATTATGATTTTTCAACATTGAATTACATATTCTTGTTGGAATGAATATTGGTTTTCATTGGTTGCATGTGCACATTTTATATACATCTAGGAGGGGAGTAGCCTCTATAGGAAATATTCTACTGGTGGTTGACTCACCCTATACGGGAACACATTTTAGGTGTGGGGCTTACACCGGCGGAAGACTCTCATTTGGGGCCTCAAAGATGAAGAAAAACCGACTTGTGGCTTTTGTAATACATTTTGTATAAATTTAATAAAATTACGTTGTTGTGTATGAAATCATGTGAATGGATTGTAATAGAACTTGTAGATATCCAGTTTTATGTGATAAACATTGTTAGACATGTTTGAGATGGTGTTGGGATGATTTAAAATGGTTTTGAAAGGAAAAACAGTGAAAATAGGCTAAACTGGGCAAAGAGTGCCGGTACAGTCTGGTCCAACAAGTAGACAGCATCGGTACACAGTACCGGTGCTCTTTCCTAAACTTTGAAAGAAAATTTTTTAAAGGTAGACAGTACCGGTACTACCTGGACAGTGAGCAAACAATATTGGTACACAGTACCGGTACTCTCTCCAAAATTTTGAACTTTAAAACTAAAGTGTTGTGCTCTCAGTCTTTGATTCCTTTGGTTCCAAAGATGAAATTGGACAATAGAGAGGCATGAATTGTGGTACCTTGAGTCACGGTTAAATTAAATGATTAAAGGAACACAGGTAATACGTGTAAGCTAAAATTTTGGGTAATGGGAAAATATTAGCGTGATATCGGATCAAGCGACACTCATGGGCATTTCCACGGTTTAACGGGTCGTCAACTAGACCCCCGATTTTAGGGGCGTCATAGCTTGGTATCAGAGCATAGGTATTTGATTACCTAGGGCAGAATGAGCATTGAGTCTAAACCATTGCATTCATTGTGCAATTCATGTTATGTGCTCAAATATGATACATGATTATGTGCTACGTGTTATGTGAATTATATGTATGATAGAAATGTATATGGAAGGGGAAACACTATGGTTAGAAAACCCAAGGTTATGTTTCGGAAAAAGGGATGAACGGTATAGTTCAATGTATAAATGTTTACTAGTAGGTGGCACACGCACTGCTAGTGAGACAAAGAGGAAAATTTTTAAGTTTTAAACTAGATCCCTATCTTGGGATACTATGTGAGTGTTTGACTACTATTTGACATGTGTGTAGATGACAAATCGAGGAAGAGGACGCCGAGGTAGTGGATGGAACAACCAACCACCACCAGCCTTTGTGGAGGCTATTGGTGCGGCGGCGGCTGCCATTGCACGGACTAGTGCAAGTGGGAGTCAAGGAGGCTTAATTCACCTTCAGAAGTTCAAGGCACATTAGCCTCCGATGCCAAAAAGATAATACTAGCTACTTTTCAGTTAGAGGGAGAATCCCAAGTCGTGTATGATTCCGGGAGTTAGAGGGAGAATCCCAAGCCGTGTATGATTTCCCGGCGGCTGCTAGACATGCAAAGGTCCGGGAGTTCTTAGATTTGAGGTAAGGAACGACGACTGTGATGGAGTACGTAGCTAAGTTCACTGAGTTATCCCGTTTCGCTGATGACTATGTGACAGAGATATGGCCAAAGTAAGGAAGTTTGAGGATGACTTTAAGTTGTCCATCCGGGGCAAAATAGTGGATCTTTTTCTGCAAGACTTAGACTCGATGGTCGCAACAGCTATGACCATTAAGAGGGAGGTGGATGATGCAAGGAGCATCTGGGACTCGGGGAAGAAGCAAAGGACTTTGACTCCACAGAGCAGCAGCTATCAAGGCCAAGGCTAAGGCCAAGGTTAGTCCTACCAAGGTGGGAGAAATTAGAAGCCTTCTTACCAGGTAGGCCAAAGGACTTGCTATTATTGCCATCAGCCGGGTTATATGAAGCGGGATTGCCCCAAGAGGCAGGGATCCCAAAATTATGAGTCATCACAGTCCCAGACTTTGGTGGGGCAGCCACATACATATTATACTCCTCAGTACCCTACTATGGGCCAGGGGAGCCAGTATCAGTTTTAGGGTGCTACACAGGCCCCTACTACTCCGCGGGCAAGGACTCCGCAAGCATGTTAGATGGGTCAAGGCATGGGTCGAGGCCGAGGATAGGGCTCACAAGCCGGGATTCGGGGACCCAGGGTTGTGTCTATGCCATGATGCCACAGACTGAGCCGACAAATTAGTTGGTGATACAGGGTACATTTATACTCTCTCGCTTATGGGCTAGAGTATTATTTGATTCTGGTGCATAGCATTCATTTATTGTTGTATCTAGTGTGAGAGACTTGGCCTTAAAGGTTGAGACCTTGAAAGAGCCATTGCATGTAAATTCTCCCCTTGGAGCTAGGGTGAGAGTTGATCAGATATGTCGGGATTATGAGTTAGAGATCTCGGAGATTTTACTCACTGTGGACCTTAAGGTCATGGACATGTCGAACTTCGATGTTATCCTTGGAATGGATTGGTTAGCGACACATCGGGTTGTCATTGATTGTGATCGTAAGAGGGTCACGGCTTACACGTCTGATGGTGTTTGTTTCAAGTTCCAAGGGAAAAAATGTGATGCTTTACCCCAAGCCGTGTATGATTCCCGTTGGCACGGACAATTGATGGGTTGGCTTGCAAGCCTTACCCTGTTGATTACCTTGCATCATATCCTCGACTGTTGATTGTACATAAATCTACTTTTGTGCATCATCAGATGTTTCTAATACATCACAAGGATCAAAACAAGAAATTTTTATGTTCACTCCACATAAATAATAGAATTTATATGGATTCCTAAGTAGCAACGACATTGCAACTCGTAGTTTAGAACACTTTTTTCTTTTTTATACTACAAGGTTAGCGAAATGTTCTTTGGTTCATCCATTCGATAGCTTCCTCAAAATTTATTATAACTGAAAGCAGTTCTCTAGCAAATGGATCATTGGGTGCCACATTTGCTCTCCTATCGTTTGTGGTCACTGCTATCACTCTCCTTTGCTCGTACATTGCAAACCGACAGACAGGGCATTGACCATGGCTCTTCACCCATGGCACAATGCAATCCTCATGAAACATATGATTGCAAGGAGTAAGCATCACCATCTGTCTAGGCTCGAAATCTTCTAAACAAATGGAACACCTTTTACCATCTTCATCGTTCACCTTTTCATTCTCAGTAGAACTATTTCGAGCATTCCATCGAGAATGCAACCAGGCTTGTCTTGTTGCCATCTTTGGTGGGGGATTGTAGATTTCTTTCCTTAGCTTCATCAAGGCCTTTTTCTGCTCATCATAGCTTAGTCTAGACTCTTCCTCGTACGTGGGGAGTTGAGTATTCCATTGGCCTAGAAACATTGGAGAGAGTTCAAGCATGGACTGTCTTGGCGTCGCCATCCCTTCTCTTGCAGCAGGAGAATGCCTTGGGGCTTGAAAACTGCAAATTGCTCCATTTTCGTTTGTTATATTAAGAAAGTGAGTTTTCCGAATACTATTCTTGAATAAATTCATGGGCAGAACTGAAGCTCAACATCTGCAACGTTTTTGAGCAAAAAATAATGTTTTATATGAATATTCGGTGTTTAGTATATTGAAAAGAGAGGTGAGGTTTTTTCTTGATGCTTTTGAAAATCGTCATGCATTTTGTGAAGTATATTCATACAAAATGCTGTAAATCTATGTGAAACGTTAGAAATGTTGAGAAAAACATAGTGACAGTACAGTTTTTCACAGTGCTTCCTTTTGTTAAAAGTCGGACATATTTTCTACTTCGAAGATGTTAGTTATTACCAGTTGAAGACAACGTGGGACATTTGAATTCTTGATAAATAGAAATCTATTACGATATAGATACAAGAGAAAGAGCGTTGTGCTGTGGGGGGCTTTTTTTTTTCCTGGAGGGGGGAGGAGGGTCGTTGATGGACACGATCAATTTTGGGGCTTGGTTTCATGATTAGTATGTTAAACAGATGCCAAACAACGAGTTGAGGAGGTATTGTGCAATTAAATAATTCCATTTTGTTTCTGGACACCCTTAAATTTTGCCAACTGATTTTTCCAAGGGGTAGAGTCTATGTTTTACTGCTTATTTTTATTGAAGTTGTGACATTCAATGAAATTTCATGTTATATATCCCTTACTTTGGATTATATATTTTACGATCTAGATGAAACAAAGGATTTTCCATTTATACCTATCATGCAAGTCCTTTGGTTTGCACATGTCTTACTTTCGGTTACCATTTTAATGGAAGTGGATGAAAGGTCCACTGAAACAAATTATGAAGCAGAAGGGTTTAATTGACCTGAAATATTGTTTGAAGTCTTAATTGAAACAAAAGATATAGTTTAAAGGTCATCTAGATAATTAACTCATATATATTTGACTTGTAGTGGAAGCGAGTAAGCTTGGACAAGGAAAATTAAAAAAAAAAAAAAAAACAATCTTTACTTAAAAGACACTTTTAGAAAGCAAAAAACACAAAAATCACCACCGTTAGTTATGTACAACCTCCTCCCTTGTGTTCTTTTTATCATTACAAATATGAAAATGTATATCTTTTAGATTATCTCAAATCTACCATAAGTCAAATAAATCTATTTTAGGTACTGCTAGACTAATAAAAAAATGGGACAAAAAATAACCAAATAATATAGCATTAATATAGTAAATAAAATTTGAAGTTTTAAGACCAAAAATACTACCGCGGTAGAAGAAATCATTTGTTCTCGTTTTTTTTTTTTGGTCTCATTTTTTAGTTAATCTGGCATTATTTTTTCATTTTTATGTAAGCAAACGTAGCTCAAGTAATTCCTTAGTTGTCATAGAGACCAAACTGTACATTTCTACGACTCCAATTATAAAGCAGATTATTGGGTCAATTAGGAGTACTTAGACTTATCTAATGCAGTTGTTAATTACCTTGCTAGGCGATTACTTTGGATCATTGATCTCTCCTCCGATGGCCACCATGGATCGCGTACCTCTCGACTTACATTCTGAAAATACGTCAAAACATTTATATAAAAAAAGTGGCAAAATCTATATTACTTGGTTTGCTTCATATCGGATTTTTTTTTTTTTTTTAAAGTTACAACCCAAACATGTCAAATTTTCAAGTCTATATGATTCATAGTTTTGTGATCCATTCTAAAGTGTTATCATTAATCGTAAAAATTGATATCGATCCCAACTTTTATGACTGATCTTGAATTCCTAATCAGGCCTATTGAATCAGAAACATGGCAAGTTTGAATATTAACTTAAGAAATTCTTTGTTGTGTATAGAAGTATTGATACTAACCGAAGTGGCCCTGAAAGGAAGTGAACGGACAAACATGGAGCGCATTAAGCTCTGATTATTGTTGCCCGGTGCGTAGTCTCCATATTGTTGTCCGGTCCGCCAGTTCCCTGGTGGTGTTATGGAATTGCTTGTGTCGTCGTTCATGTTTTGCTTGCCGAGCAAAAAACTAGAGTTTTATATCTTTTCTTGGAAGAATCAATGGTGGCTTTGGGTTACGAGGATTTATAGTTGCATTCTTTGAGAGAATTACACCATGACGCCTTAATTATGCACTTGATTTTACTTTTTTCTTTGACTATTATATTTTTCACATTTTCATTTGACTACTTGAATAATTTCACACTGCTCTAAACACAAACATTTGTTATCTTGTTGGAAAAGAACTATCAATATTTTAGACAAAGTGAAAAAAATCACATAATTTGAGGGACAAAATGAAATAATTTTTCATCAAATTTATAAGGGACGTTTACAATTTGGGCAATATAAAACTAATCACTAATTAAAGGTATAATTTTGAAAATATAATAATAGAGGGATCAATGTGAAAAAAGAGTATGTGAAAGTGACTCTACCCAGATAATATATCTTTAGATTACTTTTCTTTTCTGTCCTTGATTCTTTGTCCATTTTAAAAGATGCCCATTCATAGTGGGCAAATATCTATAAGAAAAGATTCATTAGAGTTGAAGCAAGGAATCAAATTCGTTCACGCTACCTTTCATACATTTCCCTTTCTCTCTCAATGTGAATTTAGGGTTGAAACCATTGCACCAACCCACGGCATATGCTTTTATTAATCTACATTTTGATTAGCCACCTTCTCATCTAATCAGTCTAGCACAAACAAGCATCTCTCTCTCTCTCTCATCTAAACATCATTTATATATATTTATGATTCCAAATATAGATGATCAATGGGGGGAATAAGATAAAAAAAAAATAAGAGTTTATATATATTATTTTAAAATGTCAACAAAAGTGAAAAAAAATTTGTTTGACTATTTTTCACTTAATCTCTATTATAAAGTCAATTATATCCTCACATTTCTTTTTATTTTCTTTATTTAATTATATAATCTTCTCATATCCTTTCATTTTTTTCAATTAATTATGTGCATCAATTTTGATGATGCACAAATTAATTTCGTGCAAGATCAACAGTCGAGTATATGAAAAAATGCAATTAATGAGCAATAAATAAGATAATCAATGACAAAAATAGTAAATAATAGCACATACGTAGGTATATAGTGATTCGATCCGGATGACCTACTCAACTCTCGAGAAACAATGGCGGTGGCCGGAGGGAGAAAGAAAACAAGTGTGTAGAGAGGCAAAACTTAAAGTGTAGTGTGTTGGGAGAGATGTAGTGAGATATAGAGAGGTAGAGATGTGTCTCTCCATGTGAAGACAACTCACAATATATAGGTTTGGTAAGACAGTGACGTGAGGAAAAGTGTATTACTTTTTTGGTAAGTACAATTATGATAGAATTTGATGTCCATGAGTGCATATCCCGATATTCTCTCTACTCACGTGCTCTTATCTTCCCGAACTCTTTGGTCTTGAACTGGATCGGATCGGTAAAATGGGTTTGGACTGCCTTTTAACTGACTTGGGCTTAATTGATTTATTGGGCCTGACTCAGTTGGTTTTGGGGCTCATCAAATTTAACATTTAATTATATTCGTTTTAGCTTTAATTATTAATTTTAATCTTTAATTTCTATTTTCTTTCACTAACCTTATCTATACTTCTTATATATTCCATACTACTAATAAAAGTATAGTAATCAAACTAATTTTTTTTTAATTTTATCCCTATTAATTTTATAAAGTTTATTTTGGAATTTTTATAAATTTGTAAGAATTATCTATTTGACTTTCTAAATATCAACATGCATGAAAAACTTTTAAATTATTATATTGTCCTTGAAAAAGTACATAATGACAACTTTGTCCACCTTTTAGTAATTCCATTTATATTATGTCCGACATATTAACATGCCCTCACATTTTTTTATCCCCACTAAATCACCACAATTGGATAAACTAGAGAGATATACCTTTCGTATCCCCTAACTAAATAACCTCATCAAGAGAAACTGGAGAGACATAGAAAAACTTCTATTTTATCATATAATCATTTAGTCCAAACTACCAGCTAGAATAATTCTTGTGTCGAAAAATGGGGCAGAGAAGGCCAATAGGCTCAAGGCCACACACGAAAAGATCTTCATTTGCTTAATGAAGAATTCGGCTACACCAAAATAATCCAATGGGTACTATATTTTTTTGGGGGATTCTTTACTTTGTTTTATTGTTGATAAAATATAGGAAGAGAGAAGAAATTTAAATATGAGATTTTGTTTAATTTTTTAATTAGATACTAAGTTTATGAATTTGATTCTTGTCCTATTTAGTTATGTGAAAATAGTAGAAAAAATGAGAAATTGGAATTATGTACTACATGGAGTAGTTTTGTGTATTGTCTACAAATTATTCTACTTTCTGTTCTTTTATATTTTAAATGCAACGATTGATTAAATAAACTTCACATTAGTGCCGAGATGCTTTTTTGATTGTATATGATATTAGCTATTTTTTTGATTCAGGTGTCTGAGAAGCAAAGCAAGGAAATGAAGCCCTTTCAAGGGGAATACACCTTTCTTTTTTTTTTTTGAACAGGAATGCAATACACCTTACTTTGAGACCAAAAAAAAAAAAAAGGATTCAATGTGAAAGCTGATTTTTGTGTATTGTCAAAAATACTCTCAAGAATGAACCTGAACAAGAAATGAGAGTATTTTTTTGGGGGGTTCTTCTATGAAATTAATATCCATGTTATTGTCCATTATTATCTGTCAACTATTTTGCTTGTTCAATCTGCATGGTTGAGGCTATATATATAACCCCCGAAAAATTTAAAATTTTATTAAAAAAGGACAAAATTTTATTAAAATTTTATTAAAATGCAATTTCTTCCTCCCGTGAATGAAGGGAACAACATTCACATTGAACCTCCGGCGAGGTCAATAAAGGAGTTCCTTCAACCCACACGAAGCACCACACCCTCATGCATCCTCCTTCCGGTCCAAAATCATCTCTTCCTAGTTAAGCTGGGGATGTTGCAATTACTTCCCACGTTCCACGGAATTGAAAAGAAGAACCCTTATTTGCACATAAAGCATTTCAAGGAAATAGTTCGACCTTCCTCACCAATCATGGTATGGAAGAAATAGCTAGGCCAAAATTATTCCCTTTTTCGGTGCATAAAACCACCGCTCTAAAAAAAAATTCAAAACTATTCGAAGAAGCCCAATGAGCAATTCTACCAATGTTTGGATCGATACAAGAAATTGCTACAATCCATTCCACACCATGGCTTTGAACCATGACAGTTGGTCAGTTTCTTCTATGAGAGGATCACACCGGGCCATAGACAGTTCATCGATATGATTTGTAATGGGGAGTTTTTGAACAAAGACCCTGATGAGGCCTTAGAATACTTTGATACACTAGCATAGAATGCACAATCATGGGACATTACGGATCCCACTGATGTACCAAGGTCTTCTCCTCAAGGGAGTGAACAAGTTAATGGGGGAGGGATTTATGACTTGAGCGACGGGGAAGACTTAATTTCAAAAATTGCCAAGTTATCAAGGAAGGTTGAGAGTCTTGAAGTCAATAGGAGGCACGAGGTGTCTAATGTTTCAAAAATCGAGGAGGCTTGCTCGATTTGTGAGAGTGTGGGCCATTCCATATCGGAGTGCCCTAACATTCTGGCACTTAAGGAAGTGTATCATGAGAAAGTCCATGCATTCAATTAAATGAGGCAATCATTCTCTCCTCATTCAAACACATACAATTCGGGTTGGAGTAATCACCTGAACTTTAGTTGAAGAAATGATAACCCCACTGCTTATGGTTCGAATGCTTATACACCTCCTGTGTCTCCTATGCAAAATCAATTTCAAACCTAAGGTCATGCGTCTAGTTCCCAATACTCCAGGTTTAGTCCACTAGGGTATTCACAAAACCCACCTCTATAAAACTTCTCCCAAAGTCCACCTCCCCAAATTTTTTCTAACAAGGACCATCCAATCCTCCCATCTACCAACCTCCTTATAAAAGAAACTTGGAGGATGTGCTTTACAACTTCAGCCAAAGCCAAACTGCCTTTAATAACAATATTTTGACTCAACTCACAAAAATTACCAATCACATAGGGTTATCACAACAAGAGAAGGGAAAAATCCTTGCTCAACCCAAAGAGATCCCTAAGGCCCAACATGTGATTGAGTTTTTCGAGCCCACCAAAGAGAGTTGTGAGCAACTCAAGGAGGTCACCACCCTTCGTAGTGGCAAACAAATTTATAAGACCGTTGTTCCAAAGATCTCATCCAAGGCTACATTGCCAAAAGAAAAGAAGACCATGGATGACACCGATGAGGGTGAGGTGAGTGAGAAAGAAAGAAAGTGAGGTGTTTGAGAAGAAAAAAATGGTTGACAAAAGTGTTCTTGTTTCCCACATGCCTGTTCCTTTTCCAATCGCTTGAGGCCACCTATTAATGTGGCTAATTATTTTGATATCATTGAAATGTTCAAGTAGGTGAAGATAAATATTTCACTCCTCGACGCGATAAAGCAAATTCCATCTTGTGCAAACATCTTGAAAGACTTATGCATAGTAAAGAGGAGGCTCAATGTTCACAAGAAAGCATTCCTCACGGAGCAAGTGAGCTCAATTTTGAGGACAAACACCCCTCCAAAGTTTTGAGGCCATAACAAAATTACCGGATGGAGCAAGCACTCCTTGATTTGGGGGCTAGTGTGAACCTTATCTCGTACTTGGTGTACCAAAAACTCCAGCTCGAAGAATTGAAGCCTACTCCAATTATGCTTCAATTGGTAGACCGTCATATCCGAAAACAAGGGGAGTAGTTGAGGATGTTTTAGTGCAAGTCGATAAATTTTAATTTCCTGTTGATTTTATTGTGCTTGACACTCACCCAGTTGCAAGTCTTAGCTCCCAAATCCCCGTCGTACTTGGTAGACTTTTTCTTGCCACATCTAATGCTGTAATTAATTGTAGGCATGGTCTTATGAAGCTAGCATTTGGGAACATGACTATGGATCTTAGTGTGTTCAAATTGTCTAAGCAACCGGGGGA